ATTGTGTGGAATGACTTGCCCCGGGTCACACAGCTAGTATTTGTCTGAGGTCAGACTTGAACTCAGGAAGATGAGTTTTTCTTACTCTAGGCCAGCACACTATCCAGTCAGCCACCTAGCTGCCCCTAGACAAGTTAGGAGGGTACATCAGTAAAACAGATGAATGATGATAAGGGTCTAAGTGGAAACTGGTTTAGTCATATTGAGTAGAGAGAAAGGTCAGATACAAGATGCCATGTAGGTTTAGAACAGATAAGATTGAACAATTGATCAATTATGGGGTATTAACTGAACAATTACATGAGGCTGTGAACTTGGGAGGTTAGAGGGAAGGAGATGCCAACAAAATGTAATGATGAGGGACAGATGAGATCTTTTTGTATGAATTGGTTCTGAGATGTCTATATGACATCTACCTCCAAATATCCAGTTGTGGACTTCAAACTTAAGAGACAGACCAAGGCCAGAAACACACAAACATTTTCCATATATATTTACATCCATTTATCCATCCATCAATCAATCAATCTGTTTATCTATCATCAACCTATCTCTCTATATCTTTTTATTATTAGATTTATATAGATAGATAGATGCACATTTAAATATACACTTACTACATATACATGTTTATATATGTATTTATTTTATACATGTGTATTTTCTCAGGAGAAATTTATGTAGAGATAATAATTTAACTTGTGGAATCTAATAATATAACTAAGAATGAGTATAAAGAAAAAAAGAAAATGGATAAACTAGAGACCCTTTGGCAATTTCAATAGTTAGGGCACAGGACAAAAAATATGTTCGTACAAAGGTACCAACAAAGGAACCTCAGAAATTGGGCAAACAACTAGATACAGAATCAAAGACCCAAGAGGGGGAGGAGATCCAGGATGCTGGAAAATCATTAATGGCAAATGTCACAGCCAGTTATGTATTATATATGTTAAGTTTTGATTTGTATATTATAAGTCTCATAAGATGTAAGCTAAGAATTATGAAAACTGAAAGAAGAACCACTAATTAAGGGAACCTTTATCACTCAGATACAGTTTAATCAGATGACTGATCTGGTCAGAATCTAGACTACCTTGGGTTGTGAAGTGAGAAGAGAAAAAAAAATCAGACAGCAAATGAATATAGTTTGGCATCAGAGATTGGCTGATTAAAGGAAGGAGAAATAATGATTGATACATTTAGGACCATGGGAGAGTCAAGTGAAGTTATTTTGAAAGTATGAGAGAGACTTGGAAATAGAGGTAGACAGTAGGAAAAGACCCAGTAACTAGGAAGACACTGAAAATTAATGTAAAATGTTAATTGCCATTTCAAGATTCTCTAGGATATCTGAGGAGTTGAGATCAGTCCATAGGAGAGAGGTATTGTTCTTAGAGAATAAAAGATCCAAGTCTTCCCAGAAATGAGAGTAAAGTAGAAGAGAATAAAGGATAATATTGAGTAGATTTCTATTTTTGTATTCTCTCAGTAAAGTGAATTCATCTTCTGAGAGAGAGGGAGTATTAGTGTCAGAAGTTTATTACTGCTAGGTGGTATCGTGGATAAAATATTGACTTGAGTCAGGAAAACCTGATTTTATTCCTGTCTAAGATATGTACCAGCTATGTAACCCTGAACAATTTTTTTTAAGTTCTTTTAACCTCAGCTTCCTCATCTTTTTATTTATCATAATCAAAAGAGGTAACATATGCAAAGTACAATACATTCACTAAATTACGACTGAAATTTTATCTATTATCTTCCAGAAAAGGAGAAAGGTATCAGAACATTTCTATGGGGGAATAAAATTGAATTAGAAAAGAATACAAAAAATGCCTTTCAACAGTGAGAATTCAAAAATGTTACATGACATATATGTAAGTTACCCAGTGTTTTCTTCCATTCTTTTAAAATAATATATGTATAAAACTTCAAAAAGTAGATGGAGGTTATAATCCATGATTGGAGTTTGATAAGCCATGGATATCAATTCAACTAGAGAACAAATGACTCCAGCATACAGGACTGTAGAAATGATTAAATAAAGGGTTGGATTTGGAAGGGAGGAAAGTAAAATTTTCATATAAGGAAATAAATTAACAGAATAAGGAAGGGAGGAAAGATGGGAGGGATAGAGAAAAGTATGAAAGAAGGAGGGAAAGGAGGCAAGGAAATAGAAAGGAAGGATTGAAAGAAGTACGAAAGGACAAATGGAAGGAAGGTAGGAAGGAAGGAAGGATGAAAGGAAAAAAGGAAGGAAAGAAGGAAGAAAAGAAGAATGAGAGGCAGAAGGAAGTGTGGTAGAGGATGAGAGGTAACGAGGAAAAGAAGGAGGCAGGCAGGCATAAAAGTTAAGAAAAGTGTACAACACACCCTAGAGGAGCACTAATACCATTGACTTTTCTCCTATGGTCTCAAACCAAATTCTTTCTTTTCTACCAGAAGACAAAATACATATATAGTTAGTGGCATATTAGTATGTGTATATTTGTATGTACATATGTGTATGTATGTATTTTGTTGTACTATATATGTAAATATAATAAATAATAAATATATATAAATAATATAGGAAATATAGGTAAAGATATATAAATATAAATATGTGTACATATATATGGCCATCCTCTCCTGACCTGCAACAAATATGTATACACACACATACATATGTATATAAATATATACATATATATGTGTATATATACATATATGTATGTTTGTGAATATAGATATAGATATACAAAATTGTTTTGGGGAGGATGGGAAGGCCTTTCATAGAATATGGAATTTAAGCTGTCTGGAAGATAGGAAAACTAAAAGACAGAGGTGAAGAGGGCAAAAAATTCACATGGTAAGGACCAGCATTGTAAAGGCCCAGAATTAAGACATGAAATGACATGATGGTATGTTTAAAAAACATCAAAGAAGGAATGATAAGTAAGTAGTAAAGTGAATGGAAGGGATTAGAAGAATGGAAAGGTAGGATCAAATTATGAAAAAAAAATTAACTACTAAAGGGAAGAATTTATATTTGATATTAAAAGTAAATGGGAAAAATAAGAGTTTCTTCATAGTTCATGTGTGCATAGATGAATGGAAAGTAGAGAGGGGGTATTTTATCTGATTAGACCTGCATTTTGGAATATCAATTTGGCAGCAGAGTAAAACACGTAGGGAAGTAAGGTGAGACTTTAGACAGGAAGATTAACCAGGAAAGCAATTGTAATAGACCAGGGAGAAGAGATGAGGCCCTGTAGGAAGGTGATAGCTATGTGGGTTTAAAGAAAGAAACTTATCTCCAGGTTGTTGTGAAAGTAGAAGATAATACACAACAACTGAAAAATTATGTGAGATAATTTTGACTAAGAGATCGAGGAGGACAAAGTTGAGAACTTATTTGACTGAGAGCATGGGGAGACTCAAACAGTAACTGGAAAGTTGGGATGAGTGGGATGTTTTCAATAGAAAGATAATGCATTTTGTGGATATAACTGTCCCTGATTTCATATTTCAGTCTAGTCATGTGGAATAATGAATCTCACAGATGTACCTTTGAAAGTTTCCATTTTTTTCCCATTACCCTGATGCATTGAGCATCGGACAGCTTGCGTGTAACTCCCAACATAGGGCTAGCTACTTGTATGACCTTTGGTGAGGTCTGCATCTCTGATCACTTCAATTTCCTCATCTCTAAAATGATGGGGCTGACCTAGATGATTTCTAAGTTCCCTTTCGGCTATAAATCTACCATGTTTTGCTAAAACGATCTCTGACCCTCTATGAGTAATGGTTAAATATATATGTAATACATACACACATATAATCGAGCATTAGTTTTTTGTTTTGTTTTGTTGTGTTTTGTTTTTTAGGAAGCAGTCCTTTATTGTCTTCTACCGTGGTAGTTGTCAACCACTCACACTTTATTAAAAAAATGAAATATTTCCTCATGTCTAGCATGATTTCCTTCTCACTGAGTAACCTTTTTGTGAAAACCTCCAGTCTTCCACTGTTCAGCATGGCAGAATGACTACAATTCAACTTGGATCAATATTCTCGTGTTTGAATTCTGCCTCTGGCACTTGATAGTTGGGTGAGCAATAGCAAACCGCTTAACCTCTTTGGGTCACAGCTTCTTCATCTATAAAATGGGAATTAAGTACTTACCCTGTAGAATTATTTTGAGGTTTAAATTGGGTATTATTGGAAAGACATTTTGTAAACTGCAAAGTATGTGTTATTGTTACTATTACTCATACTCATTGAACATTTCTTTTCTTTTTAACCAGACATACCATTTCATTGGATTCAGGACTCTGCTAACAAAGAAACTCCCACTACCCATACAGTTAATCCAGTGCTTTTCAGCTTCTGGACTTAAAGTGATACCTAGGTAATTAAAGGGTAGGTGCTTTGCCCAGAGTCATATAGCCAGAAGCAGGGCAGGAAAGAAGTTTTCCTGACCCCAAGATTATTATTCTACCTACTCCCATGTCTCACTCAAGCTTTAAACACTCCCTTCCCATTTGACTTAAAAGACACTCAATTAACACAATTTACAATTTCATCTAAAGCATGAAATATGGAGTTGCAACATAAGTAGAAAATCTAAAACAATAACTAGTAGTTCTGTTAGTTTGTTGGATTGTAATCATTTATAAATATGATATTGACTCATTTCTAACTTCCTTGGATTACAAATAAACTAGTTACCAGGAAAGGAATTTACCATCATCAATTGTCTCTAATATGAAAGAGAGATGAATCACATTCCTTAGCACTGTGGATATTGTATCCCTTCATTCCAAATGTACAACATTCATCCATAACAGAATAAGGAGTTTCATGAAGAAGATTCATGTTGACTCTATCTGGAATTAAAATAACTGGATTTTTAGGTAAGGTATAGGCAATGTCTCATTAGAAGAAGAAATGAAGAGAAAAGGAAAGAACCGATAGGACTTTGGGAAAACCACGAGTTTGGCAGAGGATTGACCAAAATGGAGAATAAAAACAATGTAACTGAGTTCATTCTGTTGGGCCTTACACAAAGTCAAGAGTTTCGAAAATTTTTCTCTGTCATTTTTTTAATCATATATATTATCACAATTATAGGAAACATACTCATTGTCATAACCTTAACTGCCAGCCAAACTTTGACATCGCCCATGTACATTTTTCTAACCTTCTTATCCATTGTGGATGCTGCTTACTCTTCAGTTATTGCTCCTAAGATGGTTGTGGATTTACTGTATGAGAAGACAATCATCTCCCTAGCAGGCTGTCTGACTCAGCTCTTTGCAGATCATTTTTTTGGTGGTGTTGAAATAATCCTTCTTGTAGTCATGGCTTACGATCGCTATGTGGCCATCTGCAAACCCCTTCGCTACATGACCATCATGAATCCTTGTGTGTGCCACCTGCTGGTGGCAGTATCCTGGATGGGGGGCTCCATACATGCCACCATACAACTTCTCTTGATGATCCATCTTCCTTTCTGTGGCCCTAATGTTATTGATCACTTCGTGTGTGATTTGTTCCCATTACTGAAACTGGCCTGCATGGACACCCAAGTTCTTGGCCTTTTTGTCATTGCTAACAGTGGACTAATGTGCCTATCTATCTTTCTCATATTAATTGTCTCCTATGTTGTTATCCTTTCTTCCCTGAAGGGTGGTAGTTCAGAAGGAAGGAGAAAGGCCCTTTCTACTTGCAGCTCTCACTTTACAGTGGTGGTCTTGTTTTTTGTTCCCTGTATATTCTTGTATGTGAGGCCAGTAGCCATTTTTCCTATAGATAAAGCTGTGGCTGTATGTGTTACTTTGGTTACTCCTATGTTAAACCCGTTGATCTATACCCTTAGGAACACAGACGTTAAAAATGCTATGAAAAAACTCTGGATCAGATGAATGCCTTTCATCATTCCAGAAAAGTCAGTCTACTAATTGAAAATCATTCAAATGAAGCAGGATAAATATGTTCTGATGGAATAATATTTTAATCAGTTCACATACTCCTTTTACTAGCAAAGATCACAATACTTTCATAAATTTCTACCCTGACTGTACCTCGACCATGTTTTTTTTTTCTATAATTATTTGAGAGAGGTTAAAACTGACACGTTAAAGATACAACAAACCCACATATTATCTGAGCATGAAGGTATGTGGGATATTCCATATCCATATTTTTCCATCTTATAATCATGACAACATTAATCAACAACAAACATGACAACATTAATATTTTTATAGCCCATTGCAAAATGCTTTCCATATAGATTCTAAGAGCACTCTACAAATTTCACCTCCATTTTCCCTTACAACATCCCTCACAGATAGGTGATATTATTATCCTCCTTTTACACTCAAGGAAATTAGACTGGCACAGTATATAGCTGACTCCCACAGATAGTCCACAGATAGTCATTTTCTGATAAAAAAAATAAACTGACATCTTGCTGATTTTGATTTACAACCAATGTTCTATCTCTTATACCACCCACCTACCTCCAGTTATGCCTATTCAGAGAAAGGAGAGGAATGCATTTCCTGAGGTTCTCTCTGGTATTAGACTCAGGCATTGCAACTATATATTGCTCAGTTTCTTTTTTCACTTAAAAAATATCAGCTTTCTGTGTATATTGTCAAAGTGATTATAAATATTGTTTTCCTCATTTTTCTTCTTTTTTAATAAACATTCATATTATTTTCTATATTCTTCATATTTCATATTTCTTACAGCATAGTATTATCCTATTGCATATTATATTCAGGTAACATGATTCTGTAGCCATTTTACAATCAATTAGATATACTTTTTTTTCTAATTCAATTTCTATTATTAAAGTGAACTTGTGAATATTTTTATTTGGTTTTAATCCCTATAATTGTCTTTTTTGCATATGTCTAATCCTAGATGATTTGAGCCAAAGGATATCTACATTTTGGTTTATTATTTTATATTTTGGCAACTTTTATTCAGCATCACTCCAATTTGTTCTTTTTCCAGAATGGATGGACCAGTTTGAAGTCCTACCCACATTACATTATAACGTCTGTCTTAAAGTAGGTCCTCTAAAATTGACATTTCCTTCCCCCCCCATATTTTCCAATTTGGTAGGGTTGATCTATTATCTGTGCTCACTGGAAAGTCTCAAAAGGTAATTACATTGGGTAAAAAAGATACATTTATATCATTGGGTAAAAATGGTTCACCTTGCTTTGCCTCTGTCCTTTTCCATATTCTTTTCTAATTTTGAATATATACATTCTGTTTGGGAGAATAGTAACAAGGATGGATTCTTACTTTGATCCTCATTTTTGGTTTATTTGTTGCCAAATTTTTACTTTGGGTCTATGAAAAGACCTGAGTTTCAATCCAACCTGGGATACTTACTATGTGTTTGTGATCTTGGACAATTTACTTAACCACTTTATGCCTTTGTTTTATTTGCATAATGGGGATACTAATACCATCTAACTACAATGGATGCATCACTGGGTTTGGAAACATACCAACTTGTTGTGTGACCCTGGGCAAGTTATTTAATCGTGTTTGCTTCAGTTTCTTATCTGTAAAATGAGCCAGAGAGAGAAATGGCAAACTACTATAGAATTCTGCCAAACCAAGCAACCAACCATGAAAAAAAAAGAACAACTCTTGATGGAGTCATGGAGAGTTGGAACCAAATGAAATGAGTGAACAATAACACTTCCCAAAGTAACTGTGAAGAAAAAGTGAAATATTTGCAAAGTTCTTTGGAAACCTTATATTACTATATAAATGCTAGTTACTTTCTTCTTCCTTCTCTGTATACTACTACTACTACTACTACTACTACTACTACTACTACTACTACTGCTACTACTACTACTGCTGCTGCTACTATTATTAAGTAATATTAGTATTACTAATATTATTATAATATTAATATATAATATAATATAATATTAATAATAATATGGGCAAAAACTAGATGGTGCTGATCCCACTTGCATTTTTACACCTGCATAGAATGCACTTACCACCTATTTAGCCCAAATAATTAGTTAAAGCAGGAAGTTACTAGATTGACAAATACTTTCACCTCTCAATCACATACCTGTGGAACTCCTCCTAAGTTGCCATAGCATCCCTTATATCCTCATCCACTTCCCCCTAACACATACACCAGCATACAGCCTATCTAGAAGTTGATTCCTCATAGCCTGGAGTCTCTGTCAACACTGGTCTTCATCCCTCTCCAGGCTGCTCTGCTATCTCTCTCATCTCCACAGGACTTTGTTTATCATACTCTCCTGCCTGATTACCTCCCCTCCACTTCTCAGCTCCCTTTTATGTGTTACCTTCCCCTATTAGAATGTAATACAATGTAAGGTCCTCAGTGGCAAGAACTATCTTTTCTTCTTCTATTTGTATTCAGAGAAAAGTGCCTGGAACAAATGAAGTACTTAATTCATTCTTTATAACTGACAGACAAGTTGGTATTTTCAGATCTTTGTCACAGAAAGTCTAAATTTAACCTTTGCATCCCTAGACAAAAGTGTAGTCCCTGAAATGTACTTGGACCCTAATAAAAGCTTGGCAAGTTTCTCTACTTTAGCAGGTTCTACACATGATTAGAAGACTTCTACTTCAAACACTAAGGGCATAGAGAAACCCTCACCATTGTGTCATTCCATTTCCTTATTAAAAAGCTATCATGGTGAGAATTTGTTGGTCTTGTTTTTCCCTGACATAAAACCTACATTTGTCTAATTGTAAATTTGACCCATCACTCCCAGGGTAGTCTCCTAGGGGAAAATTAGAGGAAATTTAACCCCTCTTGTTTCTCTCCTGCTTGACATCCTTTCTAATAATTAAAAAGGTAATTGTTTCCACTGCTCCCCACACCACAACACATTGAATCATCTCTTAAGTCTCACGTAAGAGGTTGCATGGGATTGTGATAAGGAATTAGACATTGAGTCAGTAGGAGTTGGGTTCAAATCCTGTCTCTTTCCAATTTACCTCCATTTCTGAATCTTAATTTTTTGCATCAGTTGTATGTGGATGAAATAAATCAATGAGCACAGATTCTATCACAGTCATTAAGCAATCATTCAGTACTTATTATATGCCAGGAGTCTTTTTCAGTTGGTGCTGGGGAGTCAATGACTATCTCCAATTGCTGCAAAGGAAAACTTTTTCTCAGTATGTCACACTTTGAATGGGAAAATTGGTATTACCTCAGGACTTGTTTGGTGTCATTGGATTTAATGCATTGATATAACTAAAGGCTGTAGAGGGTGATGCATTTGGAGGTACAGTTAAGACTTATCTCTTTCCCTGCACTAACACAAGATTTGCTTCAGTGAAACCTTTACTGAAAGAGAAAACCCATTTGGAATGAAAAAAATATCTCTTGGCACTATACTAAACTTGAAATGATGAAAAGAACAATCAGGATGTATAGAATCAAAGAAGTGCTCTAAAAAGTTGCAAGAGGTTCTAGATTTCTGTGAGATTTGGTCCATTCTAGAGGAAATACTCCCTGCTTGTAAACCTTTGGCCTAGTTTTAGAGGAAAGAATCATACTGAACTGCTTTGGTTTACATTGAGACTGAGGCAACTTTGGGCCCTATATGTCTTACACTGGATGTCATTAGGCAGCCTTTAAAAACAGTATTAGTAAGCTTTCAAGAAGAACCCTATGGATCAACAGAGCTAATAGCTGAGGATACAAAGGAAGGCAAAAAGACAATTCCAGCCCTCAAAAACCACACATTCTCATGGGTCAGATAATATGTAAACAACTTGGTATATAGGAGATACAGATAGGAATTGGAAGGCAATCTCTAATGGGAAGGGAGGATAAGGAAAGTCCAGAAAAGGCATGATGATGATGATGATGATGATGATGAAAATGATAATGATGATGCTTAGCCTCTAGTCTCAAGTCTCCATTATGGTAATGACTTCATTCCCTAAGTGTTATAGCTCACTCCTGTGAGCTCAGCAATAGGTATAAAACATTACAGAGGTAATATAGCATATGTGTAATAGAGCTTTCAGGAAGAAAAAATACATATATATACTTGCAAACACATTTAATTTTAATCTTCATCATTAACATTTATTTACATCTAAACAATGAAGAAAATCATAAATTAAGCCATGATTTGATTGCTAATTTGTGAGGTGTAAATTTTTTCACCAAAAATTTAATAATAAATCTGCAAGACTACTAGAGTTGGCCCCAAACACAACCATTTTTATACCTGCACTGCCTCCCATTTCCAATGCAATGACTTATTTTTAACATTTTTTCCTACCAGCTAGCTTCATTCTATCCCACCCCCTATTAGGTATCAAGCTACCACATGTTCATTGAACATTTACATTGATAAGTGGATTTTAAGAAACATTTCATAGTTTCTTGTCTTCAGAAATGCCTCAAACACATTGTGCTCTCTAAAGAGGCATAGAATGGCTGAAACCCAGCCAGAAGCAGGACTTAGCTTTTAAAAACAAATTCAAATTGAATTAACTAGGTCTTAAAAACAAGACCCAGGCTCAGATTCTTAAAATCTAGCCACTGCTCAGATTCTTATAATCTAGGAAATAACTACAATCTAGCTAATAGTTCCCAGGTGCTCAGATTTCTCAAGGGTCTGGCCAATATAGTAGATCTTTAATAAACTTTGTCTTTGGCTGAAAGAAGGCTTGGGTTGAATTCTTTCAGGCAGGACCCACGTATTGTGATTTTGGGGTCACAGCACCCCTAAACCTCAACATTTGGTAGCCTGTACAGGGAAACTGCCTGACCCCAAGGTCTTCTCCACCCAAGACCGGAAGGTATGTAAGGCTCCCCCTCCTTCTTTCTTGCCTGTCAGTTGGGGTTGCTCTAGCATCTAGGAAAGCTTGG